TTTTTTCTAAATCTCCGACCGTCTGTGAACACTAGTGTTTACGCTATTCGTAGGATTTTTTTCCAAACTGAATAATCCAATGTCAATGTGTCTCTACTGAAAGCTCTGCAATTTTGAAAAACATTTCTTTAATTTTGAGTGTACTTTACGAAGCCCTGCGACATCTTTTTAAATTTTCTCAAAAGTAGCATTTAATTTTTTATTCTTTTAAAAAAAAAGAATAGAGTAAAATACAAATATAAAGGTGGCATCAATTTCTTGTTCACTGTTATTTCTCCAGTTCGGGAAATCGAAAAGGTCAATGTTTTTGGTATCTTCTTACAATTATAACATTAATGAAACATTTTTTCTTCAAATCAATATTTTCGCCATACTTAGTTATTTCATTAACGTCAAGCCTTTTTTTGAAATTGCAGTAATTTGTGCGCAATTTTGTGTGAAATATGGCCAATATTAAAAAATTAAAAAATCAAGAATATCTCAAATACGCCTTGAAATTTTTTCTTCAAAATTTATGTATGGATGGTACCCAATGTACTGTATCAAATGCTATAAAATCCGTTTTACTGTTTTCTTTTCTTTTTTTTTTCAAAAGTTGTTCACATGTAATTTCTTTTAAATATTTCTTACGAGTTTAATATGTACAATTCCTACAATGCATATACATTATTGCTATTGTGGATGAAAGTTCTTCAATATCTTCCAGTGAGGGTATTCGGAAACGCAATGGATTTCTGGGAAAAAGAGCTTAAAATTTCCCATTTACAATGACGATTAAACTGTATTGTCTAAAACTAGCTCCAAATTTTTCAAAGAACATTTCCACTCAGACTAATTTGTACTGTTTTATAATATTCTTAAAGAAAAGTTTCGGTTCTACTGTTAAAAGGCTAAAAATTAAGAATATGTTTTAAAAAATGTACTTTGGGCGGTGATAGACGACAGATGGCAAGACCGTAAATCTAGCCCAGACCAAAGAAAGTAGAAAACTAACTAGAAAGACATCATCTTAGCGATTTTGTAACACTACACATTCCACGTTTATTTATTACAATACATGTTCGTAATATCAATGATTCTTTTATGTCACGAAGCACACTTCTTATGCTGGCATAGTGACGTTCTTGTGATATGCACTCGCAGATGCAGATTGTTCTGAGAGAAAAAAAGCTGAACGCGTTGGCGTGGAAGTGAGTCGATTTATTCATGTTCGGTACAAGAATAGGTTAATAAGGAGAATATGGCAATTCTATGTTTCTTAGTTTTTACTCCATAGTTGCCCCTGACAGTGCAAACAGAGCTCGAGTGGATGTGTGCAAATAAATAAGTAGAGCGCTCCGATCATAACAATATCTTCGATAGAATCCCTGAACTTTCTTTGTGATATGTCCGTTCAATAACTTTTGTCACTTCGTGCGTGAAGCAAATACTGTTTATGACGGTGAAAATACTGAAAATGATATTTATCTCTTCAACTCACAATTTGGTGGGGCCATTGCAGCCCTGACTGCCAACACTGAGACTTGAACGAAAATATATTTTCCTTAAGTGTGCGTGTGCGTGTGTGTGTGTGTGTGGGGGGGGGCAGATGCCCACAGTTGAGCTGAGGCTGTGCCGTCCGTTATAGGTCTCCTATGATTGTAAGGGAAAACATACGTATTTGCATTCAGAATGATGGATGGAATTGTAGCCGAGATGGGATAGATAGATATGTGGGAAGCCATTCACGCCACAAACCGGAGGGTCCGTGGCTCGCATGGGAGTGGAGCCCATAGCATCAGATTTTT